CGTACAAGTTTTTGTGGACGTGTGTTTTGAGTTCTCTTAGGCCTACCTGGGAGTGGAACTGCCGGGTCATATGGAAATTCCGTGTTTAACCATTTGAAGAATTGCCAGATTGCTTCCCGAAGTTGTTACACCGTTTTACAGCCCTCTTTTAATTTGCTGAGCCTCGATTCCCTCATCTGCAAAATGGGGCATCGTAATAGCGCCTACCTCCTAGAGTTTTTGTGAGGATCGAACGGGTAGATTCATAGAAGCACTTACGGTGATAAGTAGTATCGTAAGTGTTCAGTAAATGATAAATCTGATGGAGGCTAACAACACTAAAAATGCTATTTTAATTCATTTTCAGTCTTGTTTCTGAAATTATTTTTGTTTATGAGATGAATCAAAAGTATTTGTTGCTAATAATCCATGCTTCCATGAGTGTGAGTCAGATTATCCTTGGAAGGAGTAGGGCGTTTGCTTGTTTTGGTTTTGGTTTTTGGAGTTTAGTACACAGCAGGTCGTCTCATTCAACATTGTTTCATCATAACATTGGTGAGCGATCGCCGGGGGAACTTGACTCCTGTTGATATCATTAGCCTGGTTGGTAAATCGGTTTCATTATACATCATTTTGCCTAAAGTCACAGAACCTATCGATGACGTGAAGTGAGGACTTTCTGTGTGTACGTAGGGCAGCCTTGCTCTTGTGACACCACCTGTCACAATTCTTAGTTCTCTTGTTCAGAGGTGAGGCGAGAACAGTCCTCCCAGTGCCTTTCCATCGCCCCCCGCCCATCATTTCCCATCGACGGACGTCTTTGTGTCAGTGAAATTGATTAAAAATGGGAGTACAGCACCGTCTTTGGAAAGGAAGGTGAAGTTTGTACTGCAGGATATTGGCTGAAGAAGAGGGGAGTAAGGGCTGTGAGTGGGTGGGTGGCTGCCTTTGGGAAGGCATCGCTTGTTGAGGTGAGTGAGGATTGGAGATGGGGGGGGAAGGGAGCCGCCTTTGTGCGTTTGACACTGTGAAAGTCAGAATAATATCGAGCCCTCACTCCCAGCCAGGCACCGTCTTAAGCATTTACACATAGTAACTCATTCTTACAATCACCCCCGAGGGACAGACGTTTTATTATTCCTGTTTTACAAATAAGGAAAACGGAGGCAGAGAGGTTTAAGAGGTTAAATCTTTTGCAGAACCCTACTGAGGGGAGTTTGCCATCCTGCCCAGAACTTTAACCCTGTTTTAGCGACTGGGATGGGATGAGAGGGAGTGGAGGTTGTGGTAGGACAGAGGACAGGAATTATAAAATGCTTTAAATTATACACATAAATCCAACAGACCAAATTGCCGCACACATTTTAAATCCCCTACTCCCACCCGGAGCTGGAATTTAATTCACTTAGTCGGCTGGCCCGTTTGCGTTGGGGTCCTTCTATTGCGATGTACTCGATACTTAACTCAAAGTTTTGCTGTGGCCTGACTTTGGTCACAGTGTTCTAGAAGTGTTCAGAGAAAGCGACATTTTGCTTCACAGAGGTTTATATTTTACTTTTAAAAGGGAAAGCATCTAATAAAAAGGTATTTATTATTGAGACAAAATTATCCCTAAATCCTCGACACTCATATAATTCATTTATGTTAGTGGGAATTTATTTTTATGGGTTTCAGTAGGCCTGTATTATTATGAGCTATTAAACTTTGAAACCTTTTTTAACAAGTGCCTGAGGGCCCACTATATTTGGGACTCCTGAGACACAACCAGATATGTAACGTCAATGTAGATACCGTACACTTTCAGAAAGTGCAATATTCTGCATCCAAAACTGTTTTGGGTTGTTTGGAATTCTTATGAACACCAAGCGCACCTAAGTAACACCCAAATAGTTCTCATCTCGGGCTAAAAATAAAATTGTGAATCCATTTCCCAGTCTTTAGAGAAGCCCCTGTGATGATTTACCAAAGATACAAACCACTTCCCTTGTCAGAACATCACGCATTGAAGAGGGAGCTGCCCGTAAATAAGCAGCAGAGGGTGTGTATTGAGGACAGGGAGGTGCAGTCGCTGCATATAAGGAGAAAGACGGGTGAGAAAAGGCGGAGAATCAGCTCATACCAGGTGCAGGTGCCACCTAATGATGGGCATGAAGAGTTTTGACATGGATAAAGAAAAGCACTGCTTACACTCTAGGTTTTAGTGATACAATTGGGGAAAGTGGTGGGTGTTTTTTTCCTCTAAACCACATATTTTAAATTGTTACATGATAACCTCAGTAAGTCATCTCATATTCCATACACATATAATTTTTAGTTAAAAAGTAAAAATGATTCTGTATTATTTAGCGTACTTTTATTTTACATTTTTTTACTACTCATAGGCAAAACCTGCTTTCCAGCCCTATCAAAGTTTTTCATGTAGCCGAATTAAAATACATTGTATTTATCAAAATAAGGTGGTTACCACTGTATATTTTCCAGCTATTATTCTTCAAATGGCATTTTAGAAAATAACTATTATGACATGTTCATATTTAGAGCCATAAAAAGTATTCTGACAAATGCTAGGCGCTCCGCATTCCACTATTTGATAAAAACTAAAAACTAATATAAAACAAAGCCAGAATAAATAGTGTGACATTTATGTAGTACCTCTACATACGAGGCATATCTCCATAGTCTTTCTTAAAACAGTAATAGGTGCCCAGGCAGTGTGGCTCAGTGGTTGAGCATCGACCTATGAACCAGGAGATCGCAGTTCGATTCCTGGTCAGGGCACGTGCCTGGGGTTGCAGGCTTGATCCCCAGTCGGGGGCGTGCAGGAGGCAGCCGATCAATAACTCTCTTATCATTGAAGCTTCTATCTCTCTCTCTCTGTCTCTCTCTGCCTCTCCCTTCGTCTCTCTAAAATCAATAAAAAAGAAACATATTTTTTTAAAAAACAGAAAACAATAATAGGCTCCTGGAATATGCTAAGCCAGCAGGACATGTGAAATACTGGTGTGTATTTGATCACTCAGCAGATGTTTATTGACTGCTTACCATGTGAAGCCACTGTGCTAGGCACTGGGGGCACAGTAGGGAATAAATGTGCTCCCTTCACTTACCGTTCTTAAGAGTTCAGTGGGGAATGGAAGCCAAAACAATTGAACAAAAACAAAAAGGAAAAACTGACAAATTGTGGCATATGTAAATTAAGGAACAAATAGACCCTTGTAAATACACTCATCCAAATTATAAAATCATCCAAATTATAAGATCTGTTTCCATTTCTTGCCTGGGTATTTCACACTGATACCTTGCTTAATAGCTTTGAAAAGAGCTTATAGGTTTGACCAGATTGTGTGTATACATTTATTTATGCAACAACAAAAATTTACGGATTGCTAATGTGCCGGGCACTGTTCTAGGCCCAAGAGAAGGAGCAGTGAACAAAACAAAGTATGTTTGTGGCGAAGTCGCACACCACAGGGGGAGGCAGTAGACAAACACATGATACAGGTCAGGAAGTGATCGATGATATGAAGAAAAATAAAGTAGACTGAAGATAATGACCAGGATGCTATTTTACTTGGGCGGACTGAGGAGTCCCTGAGGAGAGAAAAGTTGCCCCCCAGTTTTCCTCCTTTTGCCTCTTGGGTCAGTGCAGTTAGTGGATGCAGCAGGACGCAAGGTGGTTTTTCTGTCTGTTGGTGTCTCACGTAGTCACTGAGAGGGCCGTGGCGAGGTCTTCCTTCTGTCTCGTTCCCTGCCACAAAAAGAGATTAACACCTGCATTACTTTCTTCATTCTTTTTCATTCCTCCGTACGGGTAAAGGCCTAAGCGCCTTCATCCATCCGCCCGCCCATCCCTTTCTTTACCTTTCATCCAAAACATGCTTTGGTGTCTGTTCCAAGTTTCCAGAATCTTGGGATATGATTTATTTGATTAAAAATTACATTGTACAATTAAATGTCTTCCAGATGTTTGATTATAACGTGGAGAGAGCTCTTCCGTCCAAGTCTTTCTCCCAGTAAACTCTCAACCATTGAAATTTGACGTCTTGGGTGACCTTAGCGATCCCAGCCTTCGTGCCCCAAAGCCCTAAATAAAATTGTCCACTGCTCAAGTGTTCTATAGCGTTGCACAAGTCTAAAATAGGTAGCTGGCACCCACCCCACACCTCGCTGTTGGCTAACTGACTGGTCCCATAAATAGCTCAGTGCTACGCGATCGGACGACAGCTAACAGAGATGGGATTTTTGTTTCCTAACACAACACGTGTAGTCTCTGGTATTCAATAACATCAAGGTCTAATTCACTGGACCCTAACTATAGCATAGTTCTTGGGAGAACTGTACAAATCAATAGCCAAACTGTTTTGGATGGGATTCAAGGTAGCCCTGCCTGATACCAAACTCTACATCATGGATCAGTGTTAGAGCAAGATTCAGTTTTAGTCCCTTCTGTGTGCACGAAAGTAATGTTGCCGCTGCAATCAGGTTAAAGCCCAGAGAGTTTCTGCCACATGAATTAAAAATTCTCAGGTGGGACTGAGAAGGCATCTTGGTAGTTTCATAAAACCGTTTTCCTGAACTCAAGAGCATGTTTTAAAAACCTACCCACTATTGGAATATAATGGTTCTTGTTTCTGACTCTTAGCTGGAATGTATTGTTTTATTGTCGGAAAGATTTTTAAAGGCTATAATTTAACAGAACATTGCTTCATAAATTCCTTAGCAATAACTCAGAAGGTGAACCTTGGGGTATTTTTCCAGATAAATCTGTGCCCTTTGTGTGCAAAGCATTGTTGCTTAGGTAACTTAGTCATAATACGTAAGGTTCAATCCATGCTTTAGATATTTTCCTTTTCCTTTTACTGGGTCTTTTTCAGAATGGCAATATGTTTATTGTATTTCTTAAAAGTCGACATACCAAACGTAAAACAAGTGACTTAAAAAAAAAAAATCCCCATGCTAATTACTTATGATTACTGTTCAGATGCTGCTTACTGTTGCTTCATGTCTGGACCAAAAGTAAAGAAAATGTCTGTGATATCAAAGCGATAGACAGTTCTTCCCCTAATGCTCACTTTGTACTTTTGCTTATAGGACTTCAGTACATTTTACAGTCAGAGCTTTATGGACCCAGTTATGTAGCTTTCCATGGCCACGCTGAACATACACATTTTGAAAACATTTTAAAGCTAAAATTCAGTTCAAGAACCCTGATCTTCACTCTACCCAAAAGGGCTTTAAAAGCGTTTATCTTTAATAACTGTATGAATATTTACTCTAGTGGATTTAAAAGGGGAAGGGAAAAAAACACCCAAACCACCGATTGTTTGTTTTAGCAGATTGTGAACATGGCTGTGTGGATCCAGGCCCAGCAGCTGCAAGGAGATGCCCTTCATCAGATGCAGGCCTTGTACGGCCAGCATTTCCCCATTGAGGTGCGCCATTACCTATCCCAGTGGATCGAGAGCCAGCCTTGGTAAGCGAACAAACTTTTCTCCATATTTTGTGAAGCGCAAGCATTTTCAAGTTTGGAAAGATAACACGACAGAGACTCCAAAACTTGTACGTTTAAAAAAAAAATTGTGACCCATAAAGAGGTATTGAATGCCATCTGAGATTTTAGGAAGATGGAATAACTCTTGGGATTTTTAAAATAGGATACCTTCCCTTTAATAGTAAATTCTGGCTAAAAGCATTCGAGCATTGCAGCTAGTAAAAAGCAGTGAGCAAATGTTTTGCGTGCCTGTAGGGTGCCTAGCAGAGTCGTAGGCAGAGTTCATATGAAAAAATTAAAACCTTTGTCCGCATAGAATTTAGTGCTGAATGCGGCAGATAAGGTATGTTCATTCACATAATACAATGTATTGTTAACAAATTTAACATTGGTGTTTTAACATTTATATGTAATTTATATATACACATAGACACTAAAAGACAATACAGCAAAATATTAACAATAATTTTATCTTGGTGGTGAATTTAACAAGCTTGGTTTTTGTTTTTGTTTTTATTTTGTAAATTACTCTATATATTCGGGGGGGGGCTTGTTCTTAAACTCTTTTAGAGTTAGTACAATGTGGTAAACTGATGATAAAGCTTTTTAATTGGCATTATTGCACGCCAGTCAGCAGGATGTCCACTGCTGTGCTCGGGGCCTGGAGCTGCTGGTTGGTTTCCCGTCTGTCAGTCTGATCGGACAGACATACTCACCCTATACTTCAGGCCTCCGCCACGTGGGTGGGGTGTCCTCCTTGACAGGGCCCCAGGGGAGACAGCCTTCATGCTACCGTTTGAGGAAGGCTGTATACCTGGCAGTCACATCGCCTTGGAATAATTGCAGTTGTGTATTAGTAGCACATTTCTCTCCAGAAACTAAAGAGCACCAGGAAGGCAATTTTCTAGGCAATTAAAAAAATCTCAGCCTCATGTAATTAAGTGAGAGAAAAGAGAGCTAAATGTGAGCATGTCAGTTGCACCTTGCTAGTGCTTTTCCATTTCCTTTTCTGTTTTAATGGTTTTGGAGAGTTCAGAAAAACATTAATAGGAAGTTTCTGTTGATTTAAAATTTCATTTAATAGCGTTTCCACGTCGTCTTCTTACTGAATGAATGTTGAAAGACGTGTGTGGATATTAAAGGGAATCTGAATTTTATTTAGCTAAAAATAATTTTCTTTTCAATTACAGTGACATACAATATTTTATTAGTTTCAGGTATACAACGTAGTGATTAGATGTTATTTACTTTATAAAGTGACCACCTCAATAACTCTAGAATTTTCCTTATTTTTGGTTTTCTTAAGAATATGAAGATTTTAATTTTAAAAATCTTCAGTTCTTCATGTTTACGGTAAGAAAATCTTTTTGGGAGGGTGGGAGAGGAGGCATTAAGTACAAGAATCAGTACTTGGTTTCCATGAGTTTTGCTCTGCAACTGGATCTTCTCAGGCATGGCTTCATCAAATGAGGAGCATTTTGCCAGTCGAAACGGGTGCATGCTGGGCCACCATTCCTTCCTTCCAGGCTTTTATCTAATATATATTTTATTTAGTCCTTAGAGCATGCACCTTTAAAATTTGGCTGTCTCTACTGCCTTCTCCAAGTGCAGATTTGAGCATATTATTTGATGAAGTCTGTTATAAGTGTTTGATATACCTGTTGGTGCCTCTGTTTGAAATTAGCTGCTAACTGACTTCATGGGGTTAGAGATGACAGCACTTTTTAGCGACCACCAAATCTCTTGTTTTGCTTCAGACCTGGATAGCAGTAATTGAATGTTATTTCAGTCTGATAGCTGTTTGGTTTCTTCAGTGAGCTGAGTAATTTAGTATTGCCAAATAGCAATTGTTGCCCTAAGTGTTTAAAAAAAAGAGAGGTGGGGGGGGGGG